TTTATCTCGGAAAGGGGGTGCGACCTTTTTATGGTAAAAACACATATATGTCTCGGTCTGGTAAAAGGAAAATACCCTAGAGATCAAATTTTTTTTACAATTAGTATGTCTACACATAGCTATGATGCATGGTTACGTTATTTCATCATAGGGGATACATTGCTTGACAAATATATAAACCATTTACGACAGTGATTTTAATTGCAAAAAAAAAAAAAAAAATACAATGAGGAGGGTAAAGAACAAACTTCTAGTAGTCTTTATAGGTATTCATTTTTATGTGTATTTAATACTTCTGTCTGTTTTGTCATGATCGTATATTTTTTGTAATCTATATTTAGTATATATATTAATTATACATGTACATGTACATGTACCTAAATGTTGTAAAACATTTGGTTAATAAAGAATTGAATAGTTGTTTTGAGGTTTATTGACCATTTATACTATATATATATGTTATATGAGAGAAAGAGAAATAAAAGAAAATTATAAATTTCAAATACGAAAATACTGTTGGCATTTTAAAAGAACGGTCTCTCACAAAAGATTATGTCAATCTAGTATGTTAAGCTTTGAAGGATTAGTACGATAAGGACCTTATTTGCAAGGCTATTCTGAATGAATTAATCTACAAAGCGAGAACACTTTCCACTTTCATCAGCTAAGAGACGGCTAGCTTTTTTAGAAAAGCTATTACTTGTGGGTTATTCTCTTCGTTTTTGCCATGGGGAAATCCTTTAATGACAATATTGAGTTTCTTTTCATCATTTACAGACGGTTGTTTAACTACTGATGCGTACGATTGTTCCATATTGTTAACTTTTCCCGCCAGCGCATTTAGTTGATCTTTAAAGCTAGACAGTTTACCGTTAATTTCCTTCTCCGCCTGACTGACTTCTTGTTTTACCTTTTTGTCCAAAGTACCAATGCGTTCTAGATCTGTTAGTGAAATATGCATCGTATTCATACTTTGAGTCAGACTGTATACTGGTATACTAAATGTTTTAAATCACTCATATCTGTATTACTACAATTTAGTATCAATAGTAATACTATAGTCTGATCTCAACTCATTATTAGACGAATCTGAGTCTAGTGGTCTCTTCAGACTAGCACCACAATTAAAGTTACTTACGAGCTCTGAAGTATCCGCTGCTGTGTGAATTTTTGCTGTCGCAACAACTTTGCTGACTTTTGGTGGCATAAGCCCTTATATTTTACAATTATGGGCTGTTTGCCTGTGAGAGAGCTTTCACATGTTTATTATATATTTGTTCTTAATTGTTAATTAAATATTATAGTGTTTGGATGTATAAATACTCATCCACGCTTGCTATATTTATGTTTACTTTTACTAATTGTGACTTGGATGGAGAGCTGTCTCATTGGCACTCATACCACATCTTCTTATATCTATCAACATATGACCCTGCAGACTCTGTGCACAATAGATCGAACTCAATAATGTCAAATACATCCATATTTTGGTATATTTAGGTGTAGAATATACCAGTAATAACAGATATCACAGACTAAAGCAAATTTGTTCACTCAAATCCAAGCAGAACTTGAAAAGATATACGACTTTTAGCAGTACAAAAAAAAATGCGACTATCAACTGATCAAATTAAAAATTATGTTTAATTAGTTCAATAAACTATATATTGTCTGGAAGTACACAAATTATGTAATGCAGATGAGAAGTACCGTTATACATTAACTCATGTCAACTGCGAGATACCAACCATGTTTATATGTACAAACTTTCATCAATAGTTTTTCATTTTGCATGTTTGTTAATATGTTCTCGTAAGTCATGCATTCATATTTAGAGTGCAATACAAGCAAATCATTGAAGGTTGCAACTTATAAGGAAAATGAATAATTTCTAACAGGATATGCCCTTAAAATATGATAATTTACAAAATCGTTAGACTTTTAAATCCAGACTCATAGAAGTAATTCTATGAGAAATTAAATGAGGTATGTTAAAGTTTTAAAAGCTTTTGAATTAGAATAAGAAAATATCAGAGTCGATATTGCAATTATCTTTATTCTCAATTATTTTCTAATGTTTTCTTGTTCATCATTTATATTGTGTCCAGCGAGGAAAGCCAATTATTATTTTCCGAAGAAGTGTCGGTATATTTTACAATACAGCTTTGAAAAAATGTATTGCACCACCATTTAATTTAACTGTATCTTGACTTTTTCTCTAGGGCATCCTGGAGATTTTACGAGAAATATAATTAATTTGATTGCTTCAGTCCGATTTAAGACATGATAAATTTTATTACATACAACTAAAAAAGCAATTTTTGAAAATCTGACAAAATCAGTATTTTTTCATAGTTTTTGAAAGAAAAAAGGTGCAAATGTTAAAGATATGAAAAATCTAGAGGAAATCACTTCCCGCAAAATTTTAAATTGAATATATCTCAAAAACAAGGGCACGACCCTGTAATTTTTTTTTCTACTTTTTAAGTTCCGTTAATGGCATACTATCAATTTATAACAGCCTATTAAAAAGTTTGTTATTTTGAAACAGAGGAGCGAATAACCTTAAGCAACAGGTAGTCCATCAAAATCAAGAGCTAACTCGGGTGCTTCGGGGGTGACGGGTGAGCAGTTCCTGCTTCAGTAGTGACATCCGTTTATGTGACTCATACACAGTAAAAACTCTGGTTATAAGTATTATCTTACCTTCGCTCTCATCCAATATGGAGTTTACCTACCCCATATATATCGTACTAGGTCACTAGCAAACATACTGTGTAACTAAATTAATAGTATTTGGTTTAAAGCAAAAATTAAGGCGACAGTATTTTACCGATGTTCAAATCTCGTCAATCGAGTAAGAAGAGACAAATCAAATTAATGGCAAACAAAACCCGAGGGAGTCGCATGAATTCCAAAAAGGAGCGAGACCAGGCGCGTCGACAGGGTGCACGTCTCCTTTGAACGACGATTGAACCTACGACTAATGGAACATACGGGTCCGTGGTCACATATATTCTGTTACGTTCAACGAAGAAGAACTTTAGAAAAGATAACCTCAACTCTACCTTTGCATTTGGTTCTGTCTCTTTGTTCAAGTAACCGTTGATTAAGGAAATCCTGAAAGCAAACAACAGCTCTTGAATATCTCAACTGGTAGTCTCTGAGCCATTGAAATATTCACTAAACGGACGTCATCTATAAATAGCGGATCGTGAATGATGTTTGAGTTAATCAGTGTGCTACGCAAATGAATCCATAGTAACTATACGAAATTTGTTTTTCAAATTTTTGGTTATGTCACAGGAACATATCATTACTCTGACACATTATAAAGCTTGATCAGAGAAGTTCATGAATAACAGTGGCATATGAGTGGGCTGAAAAAAGGGAGAATCCTCTTAAAGTGACAAGCACAAAAAAGTTTGTTTGCATGTAGTATAATAGTCTAGGAGTTAGTCACTGTCCTCTTTCATTTTCATTTTTTATTTTGAATAATTTTCAATTGGCCCAAAAGTGAGAGGGGCTAAAACACGAATTTTTGAATACAAAATAAACGGGAAATCGTCATTGAAAACGTCTCGTGCGTATGCAAAAGTCAGGTCACAAGTATCTCAGTAATCTCCAGAGGTCATGTCGATCGCTAATGAGATGGCGTCATATTCACCCTTGGACCCTAACCGTGAAATGCCACGACGAGTTTCCACAAGTCTTTGACAGTTCATGTATGGACCCCTACCCATATCATGGTGAAAATTAAGAGAAGATTAAAAGGGAGTTAAATTTATTTGTTACCAAAGGTTAGTACGGCGAATTCAAAAGGCATCATCGTTGTTCAAACCAGTCTTGTCCAAAGCCAAAAATCCACTTTCAGTGGTTGTCATATTATTATCATTGTTTTAATGCTATTTTGTTTAAAGATTGTTTGCCTTGTCATTTTGGAACCTTCTGTTGTTGTCAGTGTTTACCCTTCTGTTGTTGTCAGTGTTTACCCTTCTGTTGTTGTCAGTGTTTACCCTTCTGTTGTTGTCAGTGTTTACCCTTCTGTTGTTGTCAGTGTTTACCCTGGTTCTGTTGTTGTCAGTGTTTACCCTTCTGACATAATTTCTTTTGTAATTTGAACATACAGTGGTGTCAAAACATCAAAAGCGACAATGACAATGTCTTGTATACTTCCTGATGAAAATAAAATTAATTGTTGTAATTTAGTAACTGCGACAAGTTGTAGGGGCCGTAAAATATATCGAGGCAGGAAAAGTGAATTTCTCGTAGTTTATATTTTATAATGTTTACAAACATGATGTGTTAACATCAGAGCGACCAGAGGCATTATTAGTTGACAACAGCTGTAACCAAGCAAAAAATATGAATAAATTGTTCAATTTCAATAATTGACCATGTATATAGATTAATATACGGCTCTTAACATAGTAGCTCTGTTATTTGTTCGTTATCTGAAAGCCACTTTCAGACAATCGAATTTTCCAATAACTTTTCTCTTAGTTACAAAATTATAATATTCAGTGAGGAGATAATGAGTAAATTAGTTGATAATGTGCCGAAATTTCCGGTCAAAACTACAATTAAAGTGATGCCAACAGTATGTTACTCATCCTTACGTCATAATGGCTGTAAAATGGAAGTGATTGACAAATTATAATGTGATAAATACATATTTGGTATTGAAATATATTTGTGTGGCATTTAATATTTTTTTTACTGAAAAAGACGTTAATGCATATTCAACAAAGGATAATACAATCCAGGAAATGGGAGTCAATAGAAAAGTAAAGGGATGAATTCAATACATAAACTTTCAGCAATAAATGTTCGTTATTGTTACTGGAGAAAATGTTTAACTATAATCTTTAAACTTGCCGTTTACTAAATGATAGTAGTAAAGTAATCTGTATTGAAAATTTCTATAAATTGATTTTCATATTCTGCCTTTCTATTGGATAAGCTGACTATAAAAGTACTTCTTCATAGAGACAATGAACTCAGACATGAATCTTAAAGCAGCAGGACTTAGCATTATTTCTTTTTTTTATTATATTTCTTGCATACGTTGTAAAATACCAATATATATTGGAGGGTTCTTCCCGATGCAAGATGGATTGTGGGATGGCTCTGGAATACTTCCGGCGGCAGAAATGGCAATTGAAGACGTTAATAACCATCCCGATATACTACCTAATTATGAATTAAGAATGGTGTGGAATAACAGCAAGGTAAGATGCAAGGATAAAGGTATTCTACATTTATCTAAATTTTAATTCAAAACTTAGTATTATTGACCACGCTAATAAATATATTTCATATTTCCCTCTTGTATTTTTCTATTTGTTGTTACATATTTATGCATTGTTTTATGTTTCTTTCTATCTATACTTTACTATAGTTTTATCAGAATTCCAAATAATCATCATTAAGAAATGAAAGAAATAATAGCAAAAAGATTTACGGAACACAATCGTTTGTGTTCTACTTTTTAAAAACTTTTACAAGATGCAAAACCTCGGGCAAAGTTCTTCATGCATTGTTTCAACTGCTTCTGTTATCTATTTGTTTCCCTGCATTTATCCCATACATGTACACCTTCGGCAGTTTTCTGCTCTTTAGTCGGGTTGTTGTCTCTTTGACACATTCCCCATTTCCATTCTCAATTTTACAGATGTACTAAGTTTTCGGTTCTTAATTTTTCTGATGAAGGAATATCAATGCAAAATTGCGCTGGGAAAAGAGAAAAAGAAGTTTCACCTCGATTTACAGCCTTGAGAAATTCTTTTAAACGTATAAACAAACACAATAGCGCAAGTTGTCATTAATTAAAACGATAATATGAGTGTTTCCGAAACGTATCAATATTAAATTATGCCTTCTCTGTGTTCTCGGAAAACATTATCTCTGGCTTAATTCACAAAATGTTATCATTTACAGAAAAGAATTTAAGAGAAAATGGATTACTTTAATTATCTAGAAAAATGCAAACTGGACAAAGTATTAAAATGAGCTGAACATTTTATCTTATACAGTTTTTAAACGGTTTTAAACTGATAAGTTTTTTTTAGAAATACAAATCTATCATTGGAATTAGCAAAAAGAATAAAATTAATCTGTAGACCTCCAGATATATTTATAAAAATAAGAAGATGTGGTATAATTGCCAATGACGCAACACTCCACCAAAGACCAAGTGACATAGAATGTAACAATTATAGGTCACTGTACGGCCTTCAACAATGAGCAAAACCCATTCTTTAGTGTTGTTGACTTTATGTATCATTTACGTATATAAATCTACTTTTACTCATACAGTTTATTAATTTTTTTGAAATATGTAAAAATGCTTGGGTTTTGAATGGATGAACATTGAAAATTCTTCAAAATTTTCTGTATAAGTCATGGGGCCTAGGTGGCCAATGGTTTAAGTAGTTCAACTGTACACTAGCGTTTCAACTTTGATGCTGTGAGTTCGAACCCGTTCGACTACAATTGACTAGGATTGTCAGTTTTCTTGTCGAAGGTCGGTGGTTCTCTGGGTACTCCGACTTTCTCCATTAATAAAGAAACCTGACAGTCATGAAATAGCCAATGTCGCCGAAAGTGGTGTTAAACACCAACTCACATAATAACAAACAACCAAGTCCCTTTTATAAGTCGATATAATTTGTCCTTATATACTTTGTGAACATCATACTGTCACAATACCGTGTAAAATAAAATTGCCAGGAAATTAGATACATACGAAGTAATAAAAAACTAATTGCAGATCTGAAATAATCCATCATTATCAGAAAGATGAAAAGCTATCCGATATTAAATCTATCTGAAATATCTGTACAGATGAATTATTAATTTTAAACGGTTAAAAGGTTTAAAACAATGTTTTAATAGATACTGAAGAATATGTTGGATATTTTGTAGACTATAGACTGATCCATTAATAGTGGTTTAATTGTGGTAAAAAAATCATATTCTTTAGATAGAAATAGGAATCAAAGTCTTAGATGTCTCTTTTTGTGTACGAACATAAGAAAATATTTTGAAGCACTGTTTGAATACAAAATACTTAAGGTACTAAAATTAAAATTTATTTCAACAACTGTAAAAGACACACAGGATTATTGAATTCGCTGTCTGATTTTATCGTAAGCTCGTGGGAAAACGTATGATACATCAAAGACAGAGTATTCCTTATAATTATGAATGGAATTAAAAAAACAACGAAAGACCATTACATAAAAAATAATATCTATTAATCATTAGATAAAACTTACTTTTGTCGGAAACTTGCCGAACTGACTTGTAAATAATGCTGTTGCCGAGTTTTAAGTTTTATGACAGTGCTTTTTTTTTTTTACAATTAAAAGATGTTTTAAACTTTGTGCGTTATAAACTCCACATTTTATTAGCTATATCCTGTTCGAAATCCTACTTGCACTTGAGCAGGGGTAACAGATTATATCTGGCGAACGGAATGAATCTTTTATTAGCTCAAATGTCCTACGTTTATTCTTATTTTCGCTCAAATGTCCTATAATTTGCGCGCTCAATTGTCCGATACTTAGGCGCTCAAACGTCCTTTTGTTGTCGCTCAAATGTCCATTGCCGATTTGTATACCAACTTTGAATACTAGTAGTTTAAACATAACGTTTTGCTTTATAAGATCTAAATATATTTGTGTATGTGTCACTTCTAACTTTCTTTTTGTCAAAACATCATAAAAAAGTGATATAGTCTTAATATGAATTTAATGGTCAATAATTTCTGTAGAGCGATTAAAGATACTCTCGCAATTCGAGATTTAAAAAAAAACAAAAACACACACACACACAAAATAAAACCAGAGAGAATTTTGTTTGCAAAAATCGGCACACCATTTCCGCGAGTAAAACATTTCGTTTTGGCGAATAGTAATAAAAAATATAAAACCAGTAAATCATGTTAAACAATGCAACAAATCCTTGAAACATGATTGTGAGCGCTCAACCCTCCCTTAACCTGGAACAGTGTATTAATTTATTACGACCAGCTTTTATTGTTTTGATACATATTTACTAAAGGCATTGAGTTTTTTATTGTTTTGATGCACAATTACTAAAGACATTGCGTTTTTATTGTTTTGACACATAATTACTAAGATCGATGAGTTTTTATTGTTTTATCACATAATTACTAAAGGCATTGAGTTTTTATTGTTTTGACACATAATTATTAAAGGGATTGAGTTTTTATATTTTTGATACATAATTACTAAAGGCATTGAGTTTTTATTGTTTTGACGAATAATTACTAAGATCATTGAGTTTTTATTGTTTTGATGCACAATTACTAAAGGCATTGCGTTTTTATTGTTTTGACACATAATTACTAAGATCGATGAGTTTTTATTGTTTTATCACATAATTACTAAAGGCATTGAGTTTTTATTGTTTTGACACATAATTATTAAAGGGATTGAGTTTTTATATTTTTGATACATAATTACTAAAGGCATTGAGTTTTTATTGTTTTGATACATAATTACTAAAGGCATTGAGTTTTTATTGTTTTGATACATAATTACTAAAGGCATTGAGTTTTTATTGTTTTGATGCATAATTACTAAAATAATTGAGTTTTTTTTTGTTTTGACACATAATTACTAAGATCATTGAGTTTTTATTGTTTTGACTCATAATTACTAAAGGCATTGAGTTTTTATTGTTTTGACACATAATTATCAAAGGCATTGAGTTTTTATTGTTTTGATGCATAATTATTTAAGGCATTGAGTTTTTATTGTTTTGATACATAATTACTAAAGGCATTGAGTTTTTATTGTTTTGATGCATAATTACTAAAATCATTGAGTTTTTTTTTGTTTTGACACATAATTACTAAGATCATTGAGTTTTTATTGTTTTGACTCATAATTACTAAAGGCATTGAGTTTTATTGTTTTGACACATAATTATTAAAGGCATTGAGTTTTTATTGTTTTGATACATAATTACTTAAGGCATTGAGTTTTTATTGTTTTGATACATAATTACTAAAGGCATTGAGTTTTTATTCAAATAGTTCTATCTATAGTATAGAAAAAAAGATTTATATGAAGAAAAAAACAATGAAAACATTTATCGCTTATTCTACTCTAAAAAAATACATGTAAAACTACAGTTATCAAGAAATTTGTTTCATAATTTTAGAAAATTTGCATTTTTGATAATTTTCTTGAATTATTCATCTAAACACATAGTTTGATTCCTGGCGATATACATTACAATTATAAAATTGAGAATGGAAACGGGGAGTGTGTCAAAGAGACAGCAACCCGACCAAAGAGCAGAAAACAGCCCAAGGCCACCAATGGTTATCAATATAGCGAGAAAATCTCGTACCCGGAGTCGGGCTTCAGCAGCCCCCTAAATAATAATGTATACCAGTTCAGCGAAAATGGACGTCACACTAAACTCCGAAGCATATAAATAAACCAAAATTAAAAAAAAACATACAAGACTAACAAAGGCTAGAGGTTCCTGACTTGGGACAGGCGCAAAAATGCGGCGGGGTTAAACATGTTTTGTGAGATCTCAACCTTCCTATATACCTCTAGCCAATGTGGAACAAACAAAAACATAGTAATACGCACTTTAAATTCAGTTTAAAAGAAGTCCGCGTCCGATGTTAGAATAACATGTTTTCTGTTGTACTGTCTTGTATTTGGTAATTTCAGTTATTATTTTATGTATCATACTAGTATAATACATCATGTAGCTTGACTCTCGTCAGCATGGGTATAGTTGAATACTGATGGGAAATTACTTTTTGAATGTCATTGGTTTCATGGTTTATGAGGCTGTTCTACTTGGTATCTTGGTAATTACCTGTCTTATATACTCTCTAGGCAAATCTTAAATAACATTTTCATTTCCGAATGATCTCCTTGGTGACACAGTTTTCTTTAAGATTAGGATTGAGAAATTATAAAAGGAAATATCAAAGAAGATTGTAATATTGAATGAAAAGCTAAAAATCCTTTTAATTATTTATGATTGCGTAAGGTATCATACTCAGGGAAAAATCCATCACCTTGCATCAATGTCATTATCATAATCTCCTATTATACCATGCTTTGAAGTTTCAAAAATGTGTTGTTTGTGTTCATTCTATAGGTTGTTGCCAGATGCTGTTCTGTTGCTCAGTGATGTATTCATCCGAAATACTTCAAATCTATTAAAGCTCAATTACATGCATTTCTATAATAACTTTAGAGTACACTGGCACTAACTCTTTGCTCACAGACCTTCGTATGTTTAAAAATGGATGAAAGAACTAAACCAATAACCTTTTGTTTTTTAGATATTAACTTTTAATCCATATGACCTGCGATGCCGTTAATAATACATGAATTCAATATAATGTAAATGTTTATATATATTCATGCAGTGTGCCCACGGAGCTACAATCAGGTCCTTGTTTCATCAAATTTATTCAGAGCCAACAAAGTTGATGATTTTAGGAGCAGGATGTAGTTCACAGACCAGTACAATAGCAGAAACAGTACCACCATGGAATCTTGTACAAGTAAGTTTTAATGGGAAATCGAAAATAGAAAAGGACACAACAGTTTTTCATAACAAAACTATTAAATTAAAATATGAAAATGATTGAAAATAAAACAGAATTATTCTTTTCTACGATTTTAGAAAAGCCGATATATTTCAGTAACATTTTAGGATTAAGTTGTCCGTCCAAAAATAAATTATACATACTAGTAATAGTCTTTCAATACAAAAATGTAAGTATCCAAATATTTGATAAATAAAGTAATTTCACTAAAAAAAAAAAAATATAATTTTAGAATTTTCAGATATTTGAATAAAAATACCCGAATGCGTGCCGATGATTTTCTTTTGTCAAAACTCAATAGGATGGATTCAGGGATGATATCCAGTCGAAATTAAATAAAGGAAATAGAAATTCGGGTATACTTTTTTACGTTCAGATGTGTTTGGGCATACTGTTTTGTCCATAAAATGTATAAAACAAAAATAAATGATCTACCATTTCTCTTTAGATTCCATTATATTTTAGATAAGGCTACATGTTGATAAAACAGCATTAAAAATTCACAGTACTAAAAAATTAGATATATGGGTCAAGTATGATACCTTTGTAATGAGACATCACATCAGAATAGAGGTTTTGAAGAACAAATAAAAGGGAAAAAAAAAAGATTCGTGCCTCTACAAATGTTAAACTGTAAGTGTATTTCTTACCATTATTTTTTTTAAATTTTCGTTCACATTTTACAAATAAAATTTACGTGTATTAATTATTTTTTCCATGAAAATGTACTAGAAAAAGAAAAGTCAGGCTTGACGACAGATTTTACTTTAGGATCTCAGAAATGCATAACTTTTATTTTATGTGTGTTATATAGGGTTACTAGTCTTCATACTCTTAAAATTTCTAGTATGTCCTTCCATGCAATATTTAAATGTTTTTTGTTTTGTGTTTTATTGAAAGTTCAAAAATTTCCTCTCACAACCAATCAGACATTAATATTTAGTTGACAAAATGCCTGAAAGTACGTTAATGATGCTTAAAAGCTAGAAGAATCATTTGTCATATTTTTTAAAACAATTTTCAAGCAATGATCGTAATGATGCAATATGAATAAATGGATCGGACTGACAGGCGTCATCACTACAATGGCCTCCGTTACCAAGATTGAATCAAAATCTGTACATGTAATGGGGAGACAGTTCTGACGAAGTAGAATTCTTCCTTAGGGGTGCATGCTATAATGTTGAAATCTGTGCAAAAATTCAATACTGTCGACGCATAACTCATTATAGGCATTGCTCTATTTTAAACCATTGATAAAAGGAAATTTCACCTCCTATTATATCTCTCACAGAAACGTAGTTTTTTTGCATTTTAGTTAAATAATTTCAATTAATGAATATGAAAACCCTACCTGCACCAATCCTGCTAAATATTTTGTTCATATATCTTTAGGCAAATCCGAAGCGAAGCAATATTGAAACAGAAGTCCTCATGAATAAAATCGATGATTCCATTTTGAGATGAATTGTAAATGCGGTAAAAGTTTATTTTTAGAAAAAATTTACTATTGCGATAGAAAATGAGAAAAGATGTATCTATTGGTGTGATGTCTTTTTAAAAGGCCAGTGAGATAAGAGTTTGAGATCCATTCGACAGTTACCATCAAATTTTCTTTCTAAAAGTGAAAAGACAAAAACTCATATGTTTAGTGTTTATATCAAATCTGTACCCACATTCTATATTGGATCCGTAGAAGTCATAGTAAATTGTGATATCTTGGATTGGTTTTCTTTCTTTAATTTCATTAAATGGACCCTCTCAAAACTGGAAAATAACGAATTAAATGAATGAAATGAAAGATTTCAAATTATATTCTAATATTTAACAGCTCGATGCACATGACATTAGTATAATGATCTTAGCAATCATTCGACCCTTCAAGTTCTATTTCAGATGGTACAATTATAAAAATTATAGTCAAGCAAATGAAAATATAGAATTTCACTCATCGAAAATCTATAATTTCCATTCTATAAAAGATAATTTTGATGATAATTGTTTCCGAACCATTTCAGGTATCACACGCATCAAGCGCTCCAGGTTTGGACGATAGAAACAAATATCCATTACTCTTCAAAGTTCATCCTTCCGAAAAAGTCACGAATGTTGCCAGGGTAGCTTTAATGCAGAAATTTGGCTGGAAAAGAGCTGCTTTATTATATACTGACGATGGTAGTTTTAATGCTGTAAGTCGAATATGAAGTATGGCGTTTGTTTATTTGATGGGCAATAATCTCACTTTCTCCACAATTATATACATTCAAACCATCCAGCTTTAATTGGCCACATTAAAAACCAACTCCATTCTGAATACATCTGTCATAATAAACATGGTATAATGCAACAACGAAGAGGCCATTTAGATCTTATTTACTAACTGTATAAGCTGTTTAAAGTGGATATTTGGGGATTTTATAAAAAAAAATTATAATAAAACTTACGCTTTCCTTGCTATAAAGACCAAATACGAATTCACGACTAGAAATAAACTATAAAAAAATCAATCACAGTCGAAGACAAGCAAAAGTAGAAAAAAATATAAAATCTTACGGAAATGGAACACTAAATAGTTTGAAGGATATACTTAAAATAGTTTTAACAACTGTATATTTATATCAATGAAATCGAAATGTAGTTCAGCTCAAATACATTGATGTTTTGGACAATTTTGAAACATTACAGCATTTTTACCTGTTTTATTTTGTACAATTTTGCATTGAAGGACTTCAGTAAGTTTTTATAGGAAAAGAATAACATGCCATGCATTTGATTTGAAATTAATGTTATAGTTACATGTTAAAAATACGACAAAAATGTTGTTATTATTTCAAAAATACACACACGAATCTGTTAAACGTTTAATTACAGTAAAAATCATCGAAAGATATTTTGAAATAATTTTGGGAGTAGTTGACCCTACATCTTTGTCGATTTACCAATATAAACATATTAGACGAGAACTAAACATATTAAATATTAATGTGATAATATTGAGAATTATAATTTTGTACAAAATCGATTTGCTGATTTGAAAAGTCATAGCTCACTAAGATGCAGGCCACAGGTTGAAGGAAAAGTAGTGCCCAAAGATATCTCCCTTCCAAGTGGTACTCTTTGATATTCGACACGTTCTCCTCAAGAATTCTAAGCTTCTGGTCAAAAGTATTATAGAAAAATAAATATCATTTAATGCACAGTTAACATCTGAAGATCATAAACGAGAAGAATGTTCAGCGAGTTAAAGGAGCGTGCATATAATTATTGTTTTTAGGCAAACTATTCAAATAGAAGATAAATAGTCTATAACCATTTTCCTTTTGAACTATGAATGATTGGATATTGAACAAACTGGTTTGTTTAGATAAACAATGAAAAGTTTAAGAGGACCTGAAAAGATATAAACAGAAATTACCGTCTTGTCTAAAGAACAAGTTACTGTCATAATTGCTGTTGTGTGGAAAACTTTCATAATTTACTAACATAAAACATGTTTTGTGTAGTTTTGTTGATATATTATTCCCTTTATATAGATAATGGGAGATTTACAAAAAGTGTTTGAACAAAACAACATTACTGTGATAGTCTCAGATACCTTCAGTGATGATCCAAAACACGCCTTACAGAATATACAAGTATGTATGTTAATGATCACGTGACAAATTATTAGATACCTTCAGTGATGATCCAAGACACGCCTTACAGAATATAGAAGTATGTTGTATGTTACACTATTGTTTGATGTTACACTATTGTTTCAGATAAGGGTGAAGGTTTGGTACCATTAAAACGTTTAATCCCGCTGCAATTGTTTGCACCTATCCTAAGTCAGGAATCTGATGTTCAGTAGTTGTCGTTTGTTGATGTGGTTCATAAGTTTTTCTTGTTTCTCGTTTTTTATATAGATTTAACCGTTGGGTTTCCCGTTTGAATGGTTTTACACTAGTAATTTTTGGGGCCCTTTATAGCTTGCTGTTCGGTCTGAGCCAAGGCTCCGTGATGAAGACCGTACTTTGACCTATAATGGTTTACTTTTATAAATTTTGACTTGGATGGAGAGTTGTCTCATTGGCACTCATACCACATCTTCTTATATCTATGTATGTAAATGATCACGTGACAAATTATTAGATACCTTCAGTGATGATCCAAGACCGTGACGTCTTTCAGAATAAGAAGATGTGGTATATTTGCCAATAAGACAACTCTACACCAGAGACCAAATGACATAGACGGTAACAACTATAGGTCACCGTACTGCCTTCAACAATGATTAAAACCCATACCGCTTAGTCAGCTATAAATGAAATGATAAATGTAAAACAATGCAAACGAGAAAACTAACGGCCTGATTTATGTAAAAAAACAATGAACGAAATACAAATATGAATAAGTATGTATGTTAATGATCACGTGACAAATTAGATACCTTCAGTAATGATCCAAGACACGCCTTACAGAATGTAAAAGGATAAAATTGAGAATGGAAATGGGGAATGTGTCAAAGAGACAACAACCCGACCATAGAACAGACAACAGCAGAAGGCCACCAACAGGTCTTCAATGCAGCAAGAAATTCCCGCACCCGGAGGCGTCCTTCAGCTGGCCCCTAAACAAATATATATACTAGTTCAGTGATAATGAACGCCATACTAAACTCCAAATTGTACACAAGAAACTAAAATTAAAAATAATACAAGACTGACAAAGGCTAGAGGCTCCTGACTTGGGACAGGCGCAAAAATGCGGCGGGGTTAAACATGTTTATGAGATCTCAACCCTCCCCCTATACCTCTAGCCAATGTAGAAAAGTAAACGCATAACAATACGCACATTAAAATTCAGTTCAAGAGAAGTCCGAGTCTGATGTCAGAAGATGTAACCAAAGAAAATAAACAAAATGACAATAATACATAAATAACAACAGACTACTAGCAGTTAACTGACATGCCAGCTCCAGACTTCAATTAAACTGATTGAAAGATTATGTCTTCATCATATGAATATCAGGCACAATCCTTCCCGTTAGGGGTTTAGTATCATACCATCATAACATATATGAGAAGAACATAACCCGTGTCATGCCAACAACTGGTTTTTAAATAAATGTGTTTAGTGCCGATGCAAAGACCCTATAAGTGAATCAATATTAACGCCAAAATATGCAATCTTTAATGACCTGACAACAGTATCGTAACTATATCCCTTCTTAATAAGTCTATTTAAAGGTTTTGTTAGCTTCAGAGGTGAATACTGACATTTTTGTGCTTTATAAAGAATATTTCCATAAAAAATTGGATGTGAAATACCTGAACGTATAAGAAGTCTGCATGTTGAGCTATATTTACGAATGATGTCCTTATACCGATGATAAAATTTAGTAAATGTTTTGACTAGTTTGTGATATCGAAAACCCTGGTGTAATAATTTTTCAGTAATACATAAATTTCTCTCGTTAAAATCTAAAACATTGTTACATACACGAGCGAATCGTACAAGTTGAGATATATAAACACCGTAAGATGGTGACAAGGGAACGTCACCATCTAAAAATGGATAATTAACGATAGGAAATGAAAAATCATCTCTTTTATCATATATTTTAGTATTAAGCTTTCCGCTAATGATATAGATATCAAGATCGAGGAAAGGGCAGTGGTCATTGTTAGTATTAGCTTTATTTAAAGTAAGTTCAACAGGATAAATTTCTTTAGTATACACACTGAAGTCGTTATTATTGAGAGCCAAAATATCATCCAAATATCTAAAAGTATTATTAAATTTGTGTATCAGATGTTGTTTCGATGGGTCTTTGCTGATTTTTGTCATAAATTGTAACTCATAGCAATACAAAAAAAGGTCCGCAATAAGTGGTGCACAGTTAGTCCCCATTGGAATTCCGATAACCTGACGATATACGGAATCTCCAAAGCGAACAAAAATGTTATCTAGTAAAAATTCAAGGGCATATATAGTATCAACGCATGTCCAATTGACATAGTTTTTTTGTTTATTGCTACTAAAAAATGACCTAAAAGAGTTTGAACATATATATTCACATTCTGACTTTTTAAATGCCCATTTAATTAGGTGTGTGAATTTTTTCTTAATGAGAATGTGAGGCAATGTGGTATATAGGGTAGAAAAATCAAAACTTTGAACAGATTCAAAATCACCAATATATGCTTGCAATTTATCAAGTACTTCCAACGAGTTCTTGACACTCCAAAAGTAATTAATTCCACTATTTTCGAAGGCCTTATTTGAACAATTTATTATCAGGTTTTTGATTGTACCAAGTGTACTGGTAAGAAGAATAGACAATTTAGTAGTGGAACAATGGCTTGAAGACGAAATGAATCTATATTTGTAAGGTGTTTTGTGTAGCTTCGGAAGCCAATACATAGTTGGGACTTTCATTGTATTTGGTTCTGCTTGTAAAGCGGTAGCTAAAAGTTTATCTTTGTTACATATGTCGTTTTCTGAAAATGGAGTCAGTTGGAATGTTGGTGAATTGGTGATTTCTTTTCAGAACCTCAATGTAAAATTTACGTCAAACAATTATAATATTATTAGCAGCTTTATCGGCCGGGACAAAAACAAATTCCTTGGCTAGTTCTTTTAGTTTATGTTTGATACGAGAAATAGGTTTATTGTGGTTATTGTTAAGAGTAAAATGTTCTTTAAAATGTTGAATACGTATATCAACTATGTTCATTACTGATTTAAAAAAAGAGTCCAAAGATTTTTTGTCAGCTTTTTCCCGTTTTATCCATTTCAAACAGTAAGTATGGAGTGAGTCGTGGATGATATTACGACACTCATTCCAATTAATAATTGACGGGGGACGATACTTAGGTCCTTTACTGAGGAATGATTTTAACTCTCGGTCTTGAACGATGTTAAGATCTCCTGTTATAACATGGGAAATGGGTCCATAAATGTATTCGGAATTACTGCAATTACATGAAGTAGGTGTATTTTCACTGATATTAACATCTTTACACAATTGGCTATAATTAAACACAAATTTCCGGGTAGATTTCTTGTAAATATAACAAATAAGAGGGAGCTCAGTATTATCAAAATATCCCGGAATTTGTTCTTTAACAGAATGGTCGTTAAAAATACCGGCAATATTTACAAAATCAAAACCTTTATTGACATACTTTATTTTAATAAACTGTTTTTTATGATCTTCAGGGCGATCAATTTTGGGAAACAGTATAGAATAACAATATGCCATTATAATTTGAACGATTTCATACTTAGGACTGCTATATGAAATTGTGTTGCAATCCTCTAAAATTTTAATTAACTTATTAACCGGTAATGAACAGAGCTTTATTAACAGATAATGTCTGCCGTTGTTTTTTGAAATAGAAATTAGGTCCGAAATATTGGTATGATTGGTCCGAAATTTTCTTTGATTGCGATTTTTTCTACGACCATGAGAACGGTTTTTACTAACAGTTTTAGAAACTATATCCAAAATGTTAACAGAATCGGTTCTTGATATATTACCAATTCCCATGATATTATCATTAAGACCGAGAGGGTAGACTGTCTGTAATTTTTTAATCCAATTTAATTCAATTATTTTCCGCGATCGTACAAACTTTGAATGAGATTCAGCAGGCTGCTTATTTACTACTTCTAAAGGTTGAACTGCTAAATATTTAATAGGATGATTGTGCTTCTTAAGGTGTTGATAAATGATACTTTTGAATTTATTGGGTCTTTTAAAACGATACAGATGTTCTTGAGTGCGTTTAGATAAATATCGTCCAGTTTCACCTACGTACTGAATACCGCATCCCGGTTTGTTTCATGTGAGTAAATAAATTATACTGTTTGTTTTTCAAGTTATATCAGTTTCAAAATTTAAAGAAAATGTGCGACCATTAAACGTGGACCTTATCGTATTGTTGGTGGAAAGACGGGGACATGTAAGTCATTTTTTGGCATGACACTTATCGATAGAAGGGTAACCACGATTTTTATTGTTAAAAATGTTAGCGATGGTAGTATTTTTAGATAAGCGATTTTGAAGATTGAGACGTGTAGATACCCTTTGAACGAGTTTAGTATTTAATATTTTTCCATTTCTAAGCTTCATATTTGTTTTTTGTTTGTGAATTATATTAGAAAGGAGCAAAGACTGGCGTCCAGAATATGAACCAGTATACAATGAATTAAATTATGTAAAAATGATAAATCTGTTCGGCTAAAGATGTCAAACGCTATCCGTATTAATTACCCGAAAAAGAAAGGGTATATCAGGGTAGCGACTGACGTCTGACTAAATAGTAGAATGGGGCTGAATATTGAAATACTACTTTTTGATAAATATTCCTAAAGTAATGAACTAGAGAAGTTCTCGCTCGGACACACACTCCATAATCTAGTATATTATAAGAGCATAAACCTGATGTATGTTAATTATCAACCCTCCTTATGCAGATCATGCAGTACAATTCTAAACACGCGTGATGAAGATATTGCTGCTCTAAATATTTTAGATTTTATGAATAGGAAACTGCTCTAGTTGGTAACAAAAGTGTAATGGTTAGGTTAGAAAAACACAGAAGGAATGCAACTACTTACTATAATTGTTGTAATAAATAACAAAAAGGTATGCATACATTGTAATAAAAATCGATTAATACGACTCCTTTGATTTCAGAGAAAAGATGGTCGCATCATTATTGTTGCTGCATTTGAAGACAACGCTAGAAAGATATTATGTGAGGTAATTAATAACAGCACATGTAAAGCAATGTCTTTTTCTTTTCTTATGTAACGTTATTTTATATGTGTTTGAATATTTGTTGATCAGCAATTTTTTGATTTTCTCAAACTTAAAAACAATATTAAAAAACTAAAGAAGATAGAGAGACACTGTAAACAGAAATATGAACAGCAATACAAGATAAAAAAAAACTATATTGTAGCTATGAATTCTATTTTAGTTCACAATGTTGGAGAGCGTCTATTGTTGAAGATACACAAAGACCTAGGTGTGCGACACAGGCTCTTTAGAGCCTCTAGTTTTTTTTATTTTTTAGAAATCTAATTTTCAGAAAAAAAAAAAAAATTCTATTTTCATTTTTCTACGTACGAGAAATGTATGAATAATTCTGATACGTATTTGGAGTAGGACATCATGTCTCTTAACCCCAGATGCATTAAATGCACTTAACTACAAAACCCCAAAATGTGATTGATTATCAAAGAAATCGTTAATGGGGGAGCGTGAAGAGGACTCCAACAATTGTTAAATTATTCTGTTTTCATGTGGATACTACTATTATATTATTGCTTTCAAATCTGAACGCCGACTTTTTTTTTATAGCGTTGAATGAATTAGAAAATACGAATCATTTTAAGTCATACAACTATGTAATCAATAGCGGATTGTTAAAAAAATTTCTTTGCATTAATTAATCCTAATATGTATTTCATCCGTGTTTATATAAAACAATGTATTTTCTGTTAATATCCAAAAAGATATTTGATCGAATCAAATTCTTTGTATAAGAGATCTTGACTGTAACAAAATAACTTTGTAGGTAAAAGTCATCAAAAATATCAGGCTTATAAGTTCGCCAGACGCGTTTCGTGCAGTTGGAAGGCCAGTTGAAGTACGAAGTAGTTAATCATTAAAAACAAAAAAATAAACAAAAATTGTTTTAAATCTATAACTTAAGCGATCTTTTCATTGGGATAGACACGTGTTTCGAAAGATTTTAGCATTTTATGAATAGGAAGTTTATAAAAAGTAACCGTATCAATATTTCAAGTCAACAAAAGAACGCTGACTACTGGATTTATGATTCCATTGGGGGGAGTATACATCAAAGAATTTGGTTTAAAAGTCATCTAAATTACCAGGCTGATGATTAAGTACGATAGACACGGGTTCATTTACAAAAATCTTTGAGAGGCGCTTGAATCAAATCGGCCGAAAAGCCAAATTAATTACGAAATTGTAGATAACTTAAACCCAGAAATTCAAGAAAGTTGTGTGAAATATTACAAGGTCAATCTATGACTGGGATTAAAAAAATTAGTGTTTCGAGTTATTTCAACAAGAGTAAATTTACACAAACTGACAGCTTCAATGAAATGTCATGTCAGCACAGGAAGATTGACGGCTGGGAAAGCAAAGATCTAAATATAAGAAATTCAGAACAAAACACTTGATGTTTATACCTGTAGTTAGAAGAAGGAAAACCAGAACAATACTGACAACACCATGACCAAAAGAAGAAAATGAGGAAAAGGCATACATTAGTCAATAAAACACCATACAGAATGATAACATTAGTCAATAAAACACCGTACAGAATGATAACATTGGTCAATAAAACACCGTACAGGATGATAACATTGGTCAATAAAACACCATACAGAATGATAACATTAGTCAATAAAACACCATACAGAATGATAACATTGGTCAATAAAACACCATACAGAATGATAACATTAGTCAATAAAACACCATACAGAATGACAACATTGGTCAATAAAACACCGTACAGGATGATAACATTGGTCAATAAAACACCATACAGAATGATAACATTAGTCAATAAAACACCATACAGAATGATAACATTGGTCAATAAAACAACGTACAGGATGATAACATTGGTCAATAAAACACCATACAGAATGATAACATTAGTCAATAAAACACCATACAGAATGATAACATTGGTCAATAAAACACCATACAGAATGATAACATTAGTCAATAAAACACCGTACAGGATGATAACATTGGTCAATAAAACACCATACAGAATGATAACATAAGTCAATAAAACACCATACAGAATGATAACATTAGTCAATAAAACACCTTACAGAAGGATAACATCGGTCAATAAAACACCATACAGAATGATAACATTGGTCAATAAAACACCATACAGAATGATAACATTGGTCAATAAAACACCATACAGAATGATAACATTGGTCAATAAAATACCACACAGAACGATAACATTGGTCAATAAAACACCATACAGAATGATAACATTGGCCAATAAAACACCATACAGAATGATAACATTGGTCAATAAAACACCATACAGAATGATAACATTGGTCATTAAAACACCATACAGAATGATAACATTGGTCAAAAAACACCGTACAGAATGCATTGCTCAATAAAAACCGTACAGAACGATAACATTGGTCAATAAAACACCGTACAGAACGATAACATTGGTCAATAAAACACCACACAGAACGATAACATTGGTCAATAAAACACCATACAGAATGATAACATTGGTCAATAAAACACCATACAGAATGATAACATTAGTCAATAAAACACCATAACATTAGTCAATAAAACACCATAACATTGGTCAATAAAACACCATACAGAACAATAATATTGGTCAATAAAACACCGCACAGAATGATAACATTGGTCAATAAAACACCATACAGAATGATAACAGTAGTCAATAAAACACCATACAGAATGATAACATTGGTCAATAAAACACCATACAGAATGATAACATTGGTCATTAAAACACCATAACATTAGTCAATAAAACACCATAACATTGGTCAATAAAACACCATACAGAACAATAATATTGGTCAATAAAACACCGTACAGAATGATAACATTGGTCAATAAAACACCATACAGAATGATAACAGTAGTTAATAAAACACCGTACAGAATGATAACATTAGTCAATAAAACACCATACAGAACGATAACATTGGTCAATAAAACACCATACAAAAAGATAACATTGGTCAATAAAACACCATACAGAATGATAATATTGGTCAATAAAACACCATACAGAAATATAACATTGGTCAATAAATCACCACACAGAAAGATAACATTGGTCAATAAAACACCATACAGAATGATAACATTAGTCAATAAAACACCTTACAGAAGGATAACATCGGTCAATAAAACACCATACAGAATGATAACATTGGTCAATAAAACACCATACAGAATGATAACATTGGCCCAATAAAATACCACACAGAACGATAACATTGGTCAATAAAACACCATACAGAATGATAACATTGGCCAATAAAACACCATACAGAATGATAACATTGGTCAATAAAACACCATACAGAATGATAACATTGGTCAATAAAACACCATACAGAATGATAACGTTGGTCAAAAAACACCGTACAGAATGGATTGCTCAATAAAAACCGTACAGAACGATAACATTGGTCAATAAAACACCGTACAGAACGATAACATTAGTCAATAAAACACCATACAGAATGATAATATTGGTCAATAAAACACCACACAGAACGATAACATTGGTCAATAAAACACCACACAGAACGATAAAATTGGTCAATAAAACACCATACACAATGATAACATTGGTCAATAAAACACCATACACAATGATAACATTAGTCAATAAAACACCATAAACAATGATAACATTAGTCAATAAAAACACCATACAGAATGATAACATTGGTCAATAAAACACCATACAGAATGATAACATAAGTCAATAAAACACCATACAGAATGATAACATTAGTCAATAAAACACCTTACAGAAGGATAATATCGGTCAATAAAACACCATACAGAATGATAACATTGGTCAATAAAACAGCATACAGAATGATAACATTGGTCAATAAAACACCATACAGAATGATAACATTGGTCAATAAAATACCACACAGAACGATAACATTGGTCAATAAAACACCATACAGAATGATAACATTGGCCAATAAAACACCATACAGAATGATAACATTGGTCAATAAAACACCATACAGAATGATAACATTGGTCAATAAAACACCTTACAGAATGATAACATTGGTCAAAAAACACCGTACAGAATGCATTGCTCAATAAAAACCGTACAGAACGATAACATTGGTCAATAAAACACCGTACAGAACGATAACATTGGTCAATAAAACACCACACAGAACGATAATATTGGTCAATAAAACACCACACAGAATGATAACATTGGTCAATAAAACACCATACAGAATGATAACATTGGTCAATAAAACACCATACAGAATGATAACATTTAAGGAATGACTGTAATATTTTTTCTGTCTATTCGAAATAACATCAAAAATGTGGTCCACACTGAATAACCCGCGTAGCGGGTTATTTTAAAGTTTGCACCACATTTTTTATGTTATTTCGAATAGACAGAAAAAATATTACAGTCTTTTCTTATAATTTAATTCTAAGTTCCATTTTAAACCGGAGAAAACCATGAAAAAACATTGATGACGTCACGGTCACATGAAAAAATTATGTCTATGAGCTGATAAACAAAGCAACGTCAGCTAATCAGAAGACGTGTTACATTCAAAATTAAATTATTGGTCAAAAAACACCATATAGAATGATAACATTGGTCAATAAAACACCATACAGAATGATAATATTGGTCAATAAAACACCGTACAGAATGATAACATTGGTCAATAAAACACCGTACAGAATGATAACATTGGTCAATAAAACACCGTACAGAACGATAACAATGTTCAATTAAAACCCGGACAGAATGATAACATTGGTCAATAGGACACCGTACAGAATGATATAATTGGTCAATAAAACACCATACAGAATGATAACATTGGTCAATAAAACACCATACAGAACGATAACATTGGTCAATAAAACACCATACAGAACGATAACATTGGTCAATA